TTAGTGAAATCCTGTGTCAAAAAAAAAAAAAAAAAAAATGGGTTTAGGGCCAGTGAGACAGCTCAGTGGTCTAAAGTGTTTGCTTAGGCAAGTTTAGGCAGTGGCAGGGGACAAGGTTTGATCCCCAGGGCCACATGCTGCACCACCCCTGCCCTTAGGGAGGGCTGAGCCTGAAAAAAAAAAGAGAAGAAAGAAAGAAAGAGAAGGAAAGGAAAGATATTATTAAGTCCAGGCGTGGTGGCTCATGCCCGTAATCCCAGCTCTGGGGAGTTTGAAAACAAGAGGATCACTATGAGTCTGACCTGTGTAGTGAGACCCTGAACAAAACAACGACAACAACAAAAAAATTGGTTTTAAAATTTAGGGATAGAATCTTACTAGGTTTTCTAGGCTGAATTTTTTTTTTCTTTTCAAAGTTTTATTGATAAACATATAGCAATGAGACAGTTTCAAATCAAATCGAAAGTACAGTTTCAACAAATAATACACTGCATACATTCTTCTCAGTGGTTAATTGCTGTACAAGATGCAGACTTGTGATCCTACTTACAAACACCATTAGAACAAATCATTCTATTCATTAAGAGAATGCAACTATATATCTATCCCAACCACTTTGAATACACAGATACAAAATGGACATTCATAGTTATACCCCAATCTAGGCTGAATTTGAACATATGATCCTCCTGCCTTAGCCTCCTGAGTAGCTGGCATTATGGGTGCATGCTACCGTGCCTGGCTAATAGGACTTTGGTTTATGTTAAAGCGTGGATGAATCATAAGCGTATCACACTGCGTGAAGGGAGTCCGATTCCAAAGGCTGCTTACTTAGGCCTTTCCAGAAATGGCAAAACAAGGGCAGCGGAGAATGGGTCAGTGCTCTCCAGCAGGTTCTGAGGTGGGCAGAGGTTACGAAAAAGAAGCAACTGGAGAGAATTTTCTGGGGTGAGGGACTATTCTGCGATTTGCTTGGAGTGGTGGTTATATAATGTTATGATTTGGCAGAACTCATCGAAGTCAGTTGGGCATGGCTGTGCACACCTGCAGTTCCAGAACTTGGGAAGCTGAGGCAGGAAGATTGCCAAAGGTTGAGGTCAGCCTGGTCTAGGAAGTGGGTTTAAGATCACTACATGGGGCTGGAGAGATGGCTCAGTGGTCTAAAGCACCTACTTAGAACAAGCTTAGCAAAAGCATCAGGGACCGCGGTTCAATCCCCCAGCACCACATGCCAGCCAGCCCTGCCCCCTGGTGGGCTGAGCTGGTCTCTCTCTCTCTCTCTCTCTCTCTCTCTCTCTCTCTCTCTCTCTCTCTCTCTCTCTCTCTCTCTGTCTCTCTCTCTCTCTCTCTCTCTCTCTCTCTCTCTCTCTCTCTCTCTCTCTCTCTCTCTCTCTCTCTCAAATAAATAAATAAATAAAATTTAAGATCACTACATGGAGAGTCCCTGTCTCAAAAAAAATCAAAGCCAAAATCAAAATGAAACTCACAAAATTAGTCAGGGGAGGTGGCCAATGCCTAGAGTCCCAGCCTTCTGGGAGGCTGAAGCAGGAGGATTGCGAATTCCAGCCCTGTATGACCAACTGCGTGACTTAGAGAAACCCTGTCTCAAAATAAAAACAACAGCAACAGAAAGAGAAAAGGCTGGAATATGTTTCTTTCTTTCTTTTTTTTTTCCCAGAAGTGCTTATTCCACTGAGCATCTCCCCAGCCCCTGGAATTTATTTCAGTACAAAGGTCCTGGGTTCAACCCCAGTACCTAAGAAACAAAACGAAACAAACAACCTCATAGCAGTATACACTAAAAAGAGTGAATTTTGTTGTGTCCTAAATAAACCTTTAAAATTAAAAAACAAAACAAAACAAAACAAAACACCCAGACAACCTTGGAACTGATATCTTAGAATCACACTCCTCCAACTTTGGAATTAGAAACTTCTAGGGTAGTCAGAGTCAGACTATGGCAAGCTCCCTTCCTCAATGCCGTCCTAGTTGGTGATTGTCACCTCTGCCTGCTGTGGTCATTTTGAGGCGCTTGGAGCAGCACAAATGCGGGGCCATCTGCGGGGCAGAGCTGTCACCATCATCATTGCTGTTATTACTGTGTTATTGTTATGACTTTGGTCTTTGAGGCTGGACTGTGCTCACAGGGCTCTCCTGCCTCAGCTTCCTGAGTTAGGATCATCTTCACAGGTGGCAACATTTTCTGAGAGGCCCTTGGCCTGATGGGCCTCAGTTTCTCCCACAGCCCAGCAAGGCCAAGAGCCCCCAGAACCCAGGCAGGCCAGGGCAGGAGGCTGCAGGGGCCAAGTGCGGTCCCTGCCGAGCCACTACATCCTGTCCTGAAGCATGTGCGCGGCTGCGGAGCCTCAGCACCTCAGGCCCCGGCCACCCTCTGGCGGGCTCTGGGCTTCCGGCAGTGGCTGCGGTCACCTCTCAGCTCTCCTTGGTCTAGCACTGGCTCTGCCTGGGACTGGCAGCTGAGGCTGAGAATGTGTTGTAGGCAGCGGAATTAGATAGAAATATCATAGGCAGTCAGACAGGGCCAGGCCCTCAAGGAGACAAGATGGAAGGCAAGGTGACTTTGCAACTTGGAAGAGGCAGACACGCCTGTGTGGGCCACACTTGAAGACCAAGACAAAAGAGGAAACACAGCTCCATACTTCCCTAGGGATGGGCATCAGGGATTGATATTCTTTTTTTTTTTTTTTAAATGATTTTTTTTTAAATTTTATTTATTTATTTATGTGTGTGTGTGTGTGTGTGTGTGTGTGTGTGTGGCCAGCTCAGTCCACCAGGGGGCAGGCTGGCCGGCATGTGGTGTTGGGGGATTGAACCGTGGTCCCTGGGCTTTGCTAAGCTTGTTCTAAGTAGGTGCTTTAGACCACTGAGCCATCTCACCAGCCCAGGGATTGATATTCTAACTACCTATCAATCACCTTGAGAGAGCCCAAATGAGTCACTAGCGCAACCCCCAACAGGAAGAGACCTTGTCCCGTGTTCATGCCCTCTTGCTACGTGACTCGTTTCCCCATTTGGTACTTGATTTAATCAATTTTACCTGAGCAATGGTGCTTGTAATCTCATTGGTTTACCATAGTTTTGTCCCACCTCATGCCCACCTGAGCGAGTTCCCATGTCTTCTCCACTATCTTCAACTCACCTCATCACATGGTTTTCCTCTATAAATGTCCCTGGAAGAGACAGCTTCCCAGGGACAACTCGCTCGGGGCCCAATTCTGTCCCTCTTTTGGACAGAAGAAGCTTTTTTCCCCCAATAAATATGTTCTGCTCATAACCTCTGTTTGTTCCTAACATTCGTGCTTTGGTTTTATTTATTAACATTTATTTATTGTGTGTGTGTGGCCAGCTCAGCCCACCAGGGGGCGCGGCTGGCTGGCATGTGGTGCTGGGGGATCGAACCGCGGACCCTGTGCTTTGCTAAGCTTGTTCCAAGTAGGTGCTTTAGACCACTGAGCCATCTCTCCAGCCCCGTGCTTTGGTTTTAGAGAACATGAACTTGTCCCAGGTAACTTTTAGGTTGGGAGATCAATTTTTCTCCCTGTGTCATTTGGAGGTTCCCTGTATCAAAAGGATGGTTTTCACTTGGTCACAAGCTTTTCAGGTTCCTTCCTCTCCATTGGGTAATTTTTTTTTTTTCTTGGAACTGGGGATTGAACTCAAGATCTTGCGCTTGCCAGGCAAGTGCTTATTCTACTGAGCCATCTCTGTGGCCCTAAATCTAGTACAACTTGTCAAATAACCCTTCAAGGGTGTTCTCTTTTTCTTTTTTGCGGCACTGGGGATTGAGCGCAGGCCCTTGCCCTTGCCAGGCAAGCGCTTATTCTACTGAGCTGTCTCCCTAGCCCTCCCATCCCTTTAAAATGTTTATTGAAACATTGTCGTGCTAAGTCACCAAATTGCCCAATTTAGGCTCAAATTTGTGATCTTGCCTCAGCCTCCTTGAGTGATGGAACTACAAGCATGCACCACCACGCCTTCCACTGCGTAAGTGCCCTCCAGTCCCTACTGGAAAGCACACAAGTGCGCTGAGCACGCGCAACTGAGGGAGGAGGCTCGAAAGCTTGAACCTCACCTAGGCACCTTTGTCACTTAGAGCGAGCCTGCCCCTGGAGGCTGAGGCACGAGGATTGTTGTGAGCTTGAGCCCAGCCTGTGTTACACAGTGAGTGCAAGGTCAGCCTGAAGTACACAGTGAGACTCTGTCTCATCACGCGGGCGCGCGCGCGCGCACACACACACACACACAATCGAAACACTACATTGAAGTGATTTTATCTGGCTCCCTGACGCCCTCTTGAGGTCATCCCCAGAACAACACCACGCTCGGGCAGTATTCGCGTCCAAGATTTTAGGGTACTGCAAGCATGGATTCAGAAAGCCAGCGGGGCTTGCGTGCAGCTTTGGCGATAGAGTGCTACTGAGCCTGTGCCAGGCCCTGGGTTCCATATCTAATACTTAAAAAAAAAAAAAAGCAAAGGATTTGTGAGCTATGGAGCCATCTCTAAGCCAGAGGCTGCTGCTGGTGGGGAGCCCTTCCAATCACCTTAAGACTCTGGGAAGACTTAACAGCAAAGGCTCCCCCCAAAACAAACAAACAAACAAACAAACAAACAACCCAGCAAAGCCCCAAGTCTGAGATACCACCCTACCCCTGCGTGTTCCTCACAGCAATCTGGGGCTAGTGAGGGTCTAGTCTCTCTCTAGAGCCCCAAGTTGGGCTCACAGGACCCCTGAGCTTTTTTCCCCAGAAGCCCCGAATGCCAGAAAAGAGAGGCATCCTTCATGGGGAAACTGAGGCTGGCTCTCCTCTGTCTTCCTCCCTGCCCAGGCCAGGGCTTCCTCTGCTGGCTACGCTGACCGCTGTCTGCGGCAGGGCGTCCTGGGTGTGCTGCCCCTCCTCAGTGACCCAAGCTGGGCACCAGTGACGCCACAGGATAAAAAAGCAGTCATTTCCTCTTCTATCTGCTGCCCACAGAGCTTTATAACCACAGCCGCCTAGTAGCAGTGACCTCTGGCCACCACAGAGCTCAGGACCCTAGGAGCTCTCTGCCACCCAGGACATGGTGAGTGGGTTTCTTTCTCTGTCCCCCCCTCTCCTCCTTGCATGTCTCCTTTCCTTCCTCCTTCACCCTGGCCGTGTTCCCTCCATTCCCTGATCCTCATGCCAGTTTCTCACCCTCCAGGGATGGATGGGATGTCATCAGGCTTGGTGTTGCAGGTGTGTAATCCTAGCACTCCAGGAGGCTGTGGCAGGAGGGTTGCGAGTTTGGGGCTCAGCCTGGGCAATTGACTTTAGCCTGATCCTGTCTCAGAATAAAAAATAGAAAGGATCCAGGTGCGGTGGTGCATGCTGATAATCCCAGCATGTGGGAGGCTGAGGCAGGACGATTGTCATAAATTTGAGGCCAGCCTGGGCTACATAGAGAGACCCTATCTCAAAATAAATAAATAAATAAATAAATAAATAAATA